CTTTCCAAAGGACACAACATCTAGTCAGGTATGCTAGGAATCAAACCCATGACCTATCGATCCCATGTCTACCTGTCTAGCCACTCAGACATCAAGAATTTGGTAGCAACTCCAAAACCAGTTTCCTAGGACTCCGGAACCCAGGATCTCTACACAGCGACAATTTATTTTATGTGGAAGTGACGACAGCTAATTTTAATGTTTGGCCAGGTGCAAATTCAGTGATAACCTATAACCTTAGATCGATGCATGTTACACTTACTTGTATGCTGATTATAGGTATTACAGTAACGAGCGTTGTAATTATCACAATTAAGAAGCATTACAACTCGTGAAGTTGACTTCCAAGATTGATATGATGCCAGTTCCGAGGCAAATTGAGAGAAATCGCTTTTCTTAAACGGTCGTTAACGTAAAAAATGCAACATATTGCAAAGCTGATTTAGATTAAGGCAAGGCAAATTTCGCTTGATTAGTTCAAGAAATTAGCTGTTCCAGATTTTCAAGCATAGAATGTTCAATGACGTGATTATATTGCTCATCACTCATTCATTCACTCACTCATTCACTCACTGTGTAAGCAAGTCTACCCTTTCTAGGGGCAAAAATTTTAAAAACAAAATGTACAGTTTAATTTCTGGCTAAAATTCAAGCTAAACTGCAAGGTACACACAACACAATTTCAGTGTGGTAAAACTGAATTTTTCAATTATGGAGCAAATAAATACATACCACACATAGCTCGTTTCTTTAAAACGCTTCAAGTATGAAATGATGACAAAAATGTGCTGAGAAATGGCAGTAAATGTCAATATCAGACAGATTTCTTCATCCAGAATATTTTTTGTTTTTCTGCCCTGAACTTGCAATAGATGTCTTTAACACAAATGTATCTTTCTGAAGTGCTTTGACCTGTGGCCTTCCTGAACAACATACACTAAGTCCCTACACACACAACACTGCCCTGAGTTCACGTAGACAGAATCCCAGCAAATCCTCGCGACCGATAACGCACGTGCTATCTCGAGCAAAGTTTGGCCGTAAATCGCGCAGAAATTCCGCCGTAGCCGCGCTATACCGGTATGAACCGCCTCGAGTGGCACTTACATTGTTGCCGGTGTTTAGAAAAGATCTACCTTATGAAGCTGCGAGCTGAAAAGTTAATTTGATCGGGTAATTCCACAGTCTTTGATACTAATTTGTCTCCATCTGTCCCAGTTGTAAACATAGAGCAAATATCTTTATCATGCAGTGTATGTTGTGCTAGTGTCTCATGACTGGGAACACAGACAACAGACTACTAAAGTGCTCCGCGGTGGCAGTCTATAAAGGACAATAAAACAATTACTTATCATCTTGTTCGCCGCTCGTAATCAATAGATACACACGGTTTGACATACCACCATATGTCTTTGCATACCATAGTGTTATACAACTGTCTGTGGTAGCCAAAAGTATTTTTGCTCAGTATAAATCTGTAACAAAAATAGAGGTCAAAGCAATTCAGAAAGATACATTTGCGTTAAAGACATCCAATGAAATTTCAGGGCAGCAAAATGAAAAATACTCTGGATAAGGAAATCTGTCTGATATTGATATTTACTGCCATTTCTTAGCATATTTTTGTCATCATTTTAGCATTACTTAAAGCGTTTGAAAAAGCTAAAAAATAAGCTATGTGACGAGTATTTTTGGGTACCACCAATAAATAGCTAGCACAAGCCTACTATACAAAACATCATATTTTGCCTCACAAATATCAGTATGCTATGGGGTAGGGTTGATTCAACTTACTACATTAAAAAATGACTCAGTAATAAAACTACTAGGACAAACATTTCAATTTTTACAGTGACAAGAATCAATCCATTGACCTAAATTTAGCTCAGACAGCCCTTCTGCCCCCCCCCCCCCGATGCTCAGCTTGAGAGTGAAGGAATTTTTATAACCGGAAAATCATTTAAATAAAACATCTGGAAGGCCCTCTAAAAATACCTCTGTCAAATAGGTGACAAACGACTGTTAGATTTGGGAGGGGGCACATGTCCACATGTTGTGTACTAAGAATAGTAACTAAAGCTTGAAGTTTAGACCCAATTTATACATGTACATGGGGAAAAACATGACAGTATGAAAACTGCATACACACGCGAGCGTACGAAAGTTGCTTACGCCAAATTTTTCCTGCATGCAAATTGGCACGCTTTGACTCAAGTCAAGAACGAACATTTACGTAGATTGTATGCCAGACCTAATTCATTCATAGTAGGTTCATTTACATTTTTGTACCAGCAGTAAAAATTCAATGTTCGCAATTTTCGTACACTTATTTAGTTCCGTATCATCAGATTTTTGTCCTCGTGTACATCAGTAATCTAATTTGAACAGCTAGAAAAGATTGATTGATAACAAAAGTTTTCTAAAAATAGTTATGTCAAACAAGTGTGACGATGACAAATTACAACAGACTGTTCACGTTTATGGTACTTTACATACTGAAAATAGCAGCAAGAATTGAACAATTGGTCCTTACCTTACATGTAGGCCCTTCTATAACTCTTGGGGTTGTCTTACTTGACTTTCTTGGGTAATTCAAGCAATTGACCAATTGATATCAATGTTTATTCAAACTGTATGGCCTATAGTAAAATCATTTGAAGTAAATTGCAAGTTTCTGCTCGAAGGCAATTGCAAATAACATTGGACAAAAGAACAGCACAATAGGGTACAAAATAACTACAAAAGCTGCAAATCTACTATCTAAATTAGTATATAATATAATATTATGTATGAAGATGACAGTTAGACATCCAGGTCAAGGAAATTGCTACTCAAACAACTGGATAGAGTTTGAAAACTGTCAGACATTTCAGGTACATGACATTGTGGCATCCACTGACTTTTGTCAGTGACAGTATTGGTATGTCATACAAAAATGATATGGACATACATACATGTACATAACAGGATACCAGTCCAAACCTGCCACACTCCCTCAAACTGATATCAAATTCTCTCTCCTACACTTCAATTTCACAAAAACATGTCCAAACCCTGCCAAAACAAGTGCACTTGACACATACACAGACCACCCTTCTTCCCTAAATGTCTTTTCTACAAAAATAGCGCCACATAATATCACTCTTCTAACCCATATGTCGCCTACTTAGCCATCCGTTGAAAACTCGTGCGAACGTTTTGTACTAGGCACGTTCTTCTGAAGCCAAAACCTCGCATATCTTATGGCTTAACGGGATCCTTGCATCTTTGAAATGTTAAAACTGCCGGCTTGTAACATGGAGGTGTTTATGTATACACTACCGGTTGTCTTGGTCTAAACACTTAAATCCTGTTGATCCAAAAGTTTCAGTTGCCAAAAAACAGAAGCGGGAAGAATTCCATTGGTCAGGGGTATCAGAATTAAACGAACACTTCAAGGGCATAATTGAACTAAAACGACCTTCACATATTGTAGCGCAGGTAACGAAATACATTTTTTCCGGCTACAACTGAAATTGTGAGTAATAAAATTTCATAAACTTGCACTAATGTTCTATAAGCTATTAATAAACATGGCAGAATGTTGTGTTATGAACATATATAATTCAAACATGATATTGATGTATAAATATGTGAACAAAGTGGCTCTTTTGGTTAGGGTAGTTAACATGGAATCTAGAGGTTCTGGGTTCGAATCCCTACCAAACCCTAGTGTTATGCCCTTGGGAAAGGAACTTTTCACCTATTTCCTCCCTCAACTAGGGTGAAAGTGGCGTCGGGTGGTGTAGTGGTTAGAGCAATCGACTGTGAACCGGGAGACCCGGGTTCGATTCTGGGTCGTACCCGGGACATGTCTGAACATGCATCCCGACGTTGTGCCCTTGGGAAAGGCACTTTACACGACTTTCCTCACTCCACCCAGGTGTGAATGGGTACCTAACTTCGGTTGGGGAAAGTCGTATTGAGGTCACCTTGTGGCGCCGAATGCCAGCCGCACAGACCCTTGTGACAGTTCCACAAAAATGATTGTGGAACAAATATGTGTATCATTTGTATTATTTGATTGTTGTAATTGTTGTGATTTGTATTGATTATAATGTGATACCCTGTATCAATTCAGCCCTATAAAGGCTGTGACTGCACGGGTACTGTTTGGACAATAAAAACCATTTATTAATGTGTACCTAACTTTGGTTAGGGACATCCTCTTGGATGGGACATCTTCAACCCTTCCACAGAGGTGGCAAGTCTCAATAAATAAAATAAATATATTTCTGGCAAAAGATTGTTGTCAATACTGGTAACTCCATTTCTGCAACTCTTGGCTGTATCATTATCTAATGTTCATATCTTTAATAATCCATGATAGTGTATCTGTTATTTTCCACTTCCTTGTTGGTGAAACAACAACAACTACATGTATCTTCTTTAAAAACAAGTCATACATGTTGCCAAAACAGCAAAACAAATGGTCGCCAAAATCGCTTGTGTGCTAGGAGAAAGAGTGTGTGAGTTAAACACACACCACTACCAGTGGACTAGCCCCCTGCTGTAGTGGCCTGTGTGTATGGGAGTTGGGAGTTAAACACACACCACTACCAGTGGACTAGCTTCTTGCTGTAGTGCTTCTGCAACTGTGTGGTCCAAGAGCTATAAAAAAAGCAATGGGTACTGCCCTACCTACCCAAAGAAGTGGGAAGGGTTGTAACAAACTACAAGCATACAGTTGTACATGCTACAGAACTGCCTAACTAAACGATACCTACAACTGCTGGTAGGACTGTATCAGGCAAAACTGCCTAACTGCACAGTAACAATGAGTTAGTCAAATTCACATATCCTTCATACATGAATATAGATACACAATCGAAGCTCTATTGAACGAGAGCTTTTGAGAATTTCACAAAAACAATCGCAAATGCACAAATAGAAACACCAAAAACATAAACTGCATACATGGAGGTACAAATTATTATAATAAAAAGTATCAATTTACTTACCCGGCGCTGAATATGGACCGCCACCACCAGCGGTAGTCCTCGCTGGACAGCTGGAAGTACGTGAGCGCCACGGAGATGCAGCCGGTGACGGACAGCAGGATCACGAACACGATAAACAGGATCCCGTACAGCGTGTACTGCTCGCGCCCCCACATGGTGGCAAAGATGTAGTACAGCTCAACAGAAATGGCACTGTGGGGAGGGGGGAATCGAGACAAAAATGATACACATCTTTAGATGATTGACAGTTGATCAACAGATGATTGATAGGTGAGTAACAGATGAATAACAGATGATTGACAGTTGAGTTACAGATGATTGACAGTTGAGCCAGATGATTGACAGTTGAGTTACAGATGATTGACAGTTGAGTTACAGATGATAGTTGAGTTACAGATGATTGACAGTTGAGCCAGATGATTGACAGTTGAGTTACAGATGATTGACAGTTGAGCCAGATGATTGACAGTTGAGTTACAGCTGAGTGACAGTTGAGTTACAGATGATTGACAGTTGAGTTACAGATGATTGACAGTTGAGTTACAGATGATTGACAGGTGAGTTACAGATGATTGACAGTTGATCAACAGAAGATGGACAGTTGATCAACAGAAGATGGACAGTTGAGCAACAGATGATTAACAGTTGAGCAACAGATGATTGACAAGTAATTGACAATTCAGTAAAGAAAATTGACGAACCTGAATGGCAGGAATCCACCAATCAGCATGTGCGCTGGGGCGGAGCGGTACCAGGGCACGGGCGGGATTTCCCGCGGGATGTTCTTGGTCCGGCAGGGCGCGTCAAAACTGTCCGCCATGTTCTTTCCAAAGATCCCACCAATCACAGTCAGAGGGAAGCCAACTGTCAAGGTAGAAAAAAAAGGAGACATCAAAAATAACTAAGATGACAGATGGTTTCAGTAAATTGTTATGACAATGGATTATAATTTTTTGGTTTTGATAAATTTCCTACGATAATTTTTAGTTTGCCTAAACACACAGTGAAAATGGATGTACAATTTATTTTAGTTCCGAACAATCATTTTCACACATTTTTGTTTCCATATTTGTCACTTAAATATGCTTTATACATTCGACTTGAAGAGAACTTCCTAACAGAATTGTTAACAGGTGTCAAATGTTTTCAGATTGAGCAACATGAAGGTTAAGAAATTTATCTTTTTTCATACAGTTAAGGCCTGGGTGAAGCCTAGATACCAGGCTCTGTGTTGCTCAGTACTTGAGGATCAGTAGGATCACTGTAGTGTAAGGAAGGGCCTGTGTGAAGCCAAGGAACCAGGCTACAAGCAGTCTGACTAACCTAAAAGCCTGGATACCAGACTTTGTGGTGTTCAGTACTTACCCAGCAGCCATATGAGCATGAGTAGGATGGCTGTTGTGTAGGGGAGGGCCTGTGTGGAGCCCAGGTACCAGGCTACAGAAAGTCTGACTGACCTAAAAGCCCAGATACCAGGCTGTGTGCTGTTCAGTACTTACCTAGCAGCCATATGAGCATGAGTAGGATGACTGTTGTGTAGGGGAGGGCCTGTGTGGAGCCCAGGTACCAGGCTACAGAGTTGGCCACAGACCACATGAGGAAGAATGGCACTGAAGAACACAAATCAAAAATAACAAAAGTTAACCTTCAGTACATTGATGTAGCCACTTGGCTACCACTTCTGCATTGGACTAGGCAGCAGAAAGATGGTTAAAAATCACAATAGAGGATTGTACCAGTTAACTGAAGAGTAAAAAATTAGAAATTTTTCCTGTACTCAAAATGTAATCATAAAATGATTACAACAACACAGATTATACTTTTCCCAGTGTATATATACATTCCATACTGATTCTGAGCATATTCCAAGTGGGGAGACGAAACGTGACCTCCAATTTTACCTTCTTGTCAGTCTGTGGTTACATTATTCCACCTTCACTTCCTGTGACTCTACTGTACTCAAATATCTATGAGCACACAAAGTAAACAAACACACCGAAAACAAGACCTCCGTACACGGAGGTAAATTATATATGATGTACCTGTGTAGATACATGAGACCAGGATGATGTTCCACACCCAGTTATGTCCTCCCAGTTTCCTGAACATGTTACCAGACACGTAACCGGACACACCTAGCAACCAGAAAAAAAATGGTTAAAGTTCTCGATTTCTGTATGGTGATCTGTGTCTGTATGGCCGGTATAACAGCAGCTGTGGCAGCAGCTGGCTACATTACACCAAACGACTTGTTACACCTAACCCTTAAACATCTAACTCTAAACATTGTTTAAAGCTATCTAATGACAATGCCCTTACTGTACTTGAGTAGGTGACAGTGAGTTCCACTCTGTGATAGTGTTAGAAAAGATTTAATTTGAACACCTTAATCCTTGGTTGATAACTCTGGCACTTGAAGGCATGACTATTTCTAGTTCTTTTCTGAGCTGGTACTAGTATTAGATACTAAGTAGTTACATGTAGTACGTCCACCAGTTTATTTTGTACATCAGTTTTGTGGTAGTCATCTGCTGTGTCAATCCTTGTACAAATGTGGTAAAGTTTCATACAGTTTCATATAGAAATTGTAACGACAGACCCCAAGATCATTTTTATGTGAAAGAAAGAGCAGTATGGTCTGTTTCCTTACATGAGGTGAGAGCGTACAGTAAGATGGCTGCTGAGTTCATGGCGCCGTGTTTGTGCACATTGAACATCCCCATCAACGCCATCACGATGATTCCTGTCGCCAGCGCTAGGAACTGGCTACCAACACCTACAAACAAACAAACAACAAACATTAAATGAGTTAAACATTCTGCTTAGGCCATACCAATATGGTTTCTAAGTTGGTTCTCTTATTTTTGTGGAAAATCAATGAAGCAGGCAGGTAGAAAAACTGTCCCGAAGTCGTGATAACCAAATAAGTTTGGCCAATCATCTGTGAGTTATAGATCATGTGACAGTCTTTGGTTGTGGTACATAGCATGTTGGCAGAACATACTGCGCCTGCGTGAAACCCTGATTTTCCACAGTTTTCGTTGGATGTTTGGTCAACGTTGCATCAGAATTTTGTCTGTTGCAAAAGATGTCTTTTCCGACATAACATTTGGAAACTACAAATGGGATGTTAACCTTATATACGCAGTTACAACCTTATATGAGACGTTCTGCCGAAATGTTATGCACAATACATTACGGATTTTGCGCAGGTCAGTACATTCTGCTGACGTACTGCCATCATGACTTACCCAGAATGGCACAGAAGATGCTCTTGTGCGGGGGGAAGCGGAACACGTCGGTGTGGATGATCTTCCAGCCGTTATCGTCCTGGTCCAAGTCCTCGCTGTCCTCCTCCTCCGTGTTGTACCGCGCAAAATCATTCTTCAGCACGCGCATCTACGGAACACGACAAAATATATCACTATTCAGGGCTCGAAATGGTGGGTGCAGATGCATCTTTGTGCACCTAAAACTTGAGCTGTGACTTTTTGTGAATTTTTGTCTGTGGGTGCACTGGTGCACCTAAAAATTTTGGAAGTTACCTACAGTTAAATATACTGTACTTCCAACAATGGTGTGTCCAAAAAATGATGAATAACTTTGATTTAATACTTGTTTGAAATTTTCAAGAGTTTCAGTTCACAAGAGGAACAGTAAGGCTAGGTTGGTAATTTGGCATTGATGATATTTTACTTTAGTTTTATGTTGTGCACCCAAAACATACTTGGTGCGCCTAATTTTTTTCTAAGGTGCACCACTGCACTGAAAAATGAATTTAGACCCCTGCTATCTACACTATAGCCTGTTTTACACATTCAATCTTTCACAGTCAGGAGCTGTTTGGGCCTCCACTCTGAGAGTTTGTGGCTATAGTTACCTTGAAATAGTGGCATAAGCTCCTCACAATTCAGCCTCAAACCCCAAACTCACCAGAATGATGACGACAAATCCGATGAGCAGGAACACCAGCACCATGGAGTTAATGATGGATAACCAGTGGATCTCCAGGGTTTTGGGGAAGAAACTGGAATCTCTCAGTCTCTGTCCTCGTGTCTCGTATTTCTCACTAGAATAGCAAGGAAAAATTGACAAAACTAGAAAGGTAACATTTGCAAAGCATATGCATAATGTTAACCTTTGCACACGGTCTGCTCTGTTAATTATTACTCAAGCACATTCATATTTATGGTGACAGGAGTATAAATCCCTCCTGCTATAAAATGGCAACATGATGTACATGTAAGGAGTTACCATGGTGACAGACATCTGGTTCAGGCCATTGACCTTATTTGTTTGGAGAAGAAAAAGAGGAAACAGCAAAAACAATATGTTTTGTCTTTCGGTAAAGCATAAGTCAATACATGATGATATATGTTTGATGATATTCAATCTGAATTTAGGTACAGGTATGAAGAAAAATTTAAGTATATTGAGCTCTGCACTAAGCTGGCTAATAATAAAGAAAGAAATAATAAATGAATGTGATAGTTGTATGAATTTGTATCCTTACGTTGTTTCTTTCCACATGACACTGTACGTGAACGTTAGTTCCAGCGGCGCCTCAACTTCATCTAGACTCAACGGGTCGTGACCCCGGGTTGTCACGTTAGCAGAGATGATCTAAACATGTAAATAAACAAACAATAAACAACTCTTGTTTACCATGTAGACAAACAACAAAGATTTAAGACTCTGGGAAGTTTTTGGTGTTTTCGTGATCTTCCCCATATATATTCCGTGAAGTTCACCCCATATATATTCTGGGGTGTCATGCCTTCAGACCTGTTATGATTCTGCCTGCCAATCTTTCCCATCCACATGCTGTCAACCTACTCTGTCCAGACAAACAGATACACAAACCCACAGCTCAGCCACTCAAAACAAAACTTCCGCACCCAGTGATAGGTCTTGTTTATGAAGAGAAACACTATTGGATCTTGAAGTAAAAGAACCAAGCACACTGTGATAGAAAATTGATTCCAAGAAAAATAAGAATATTTCTATGGAAAAAAAAATATTAGACAAACTTATGGTTCCAAAAAGTTCACACCACCATTTTCAATTTGACAAAATCAAACCCATATACAATGTACAAGAATTCTTTCTGATTCATTGAGGCATTAGTACTAGTGTGTGACAAACTTCAGTTTTGCAGTGCAGGGATGCCCCCTACCTGATTTCCGTTGTACTCCAGGTTGAAGTGGTGGTGTGTCCAGAGCGACACCTTGTGTTTGTGGGGGAGGAAACCGCCCTCGTCTAGATGGCCGATGAACCCTCGGATGGGAAGTTCATCTGAAGAATAGGTCAAAGGTAATACCATTATACATACATTGTAGCATTTCAAAGAAAACTGAATTGCTGCATGGAAGATAGAGAAAAAAAAGAAAGTGATTCATCTAGTTTAAGCTCACTTAACAGCTACATTGTAATCATTTTTTTTACAGGATCATTAGACACAAGAAATTCTAGCTACTTTTGAAAAGCACAATAACAATTGAACTATGGTTTAAAGATCAAATGACACAAAAAAAGTCTGTAAAATACATACTATACAAAAGTATACATACAATATAGTCACTTGAAGTTTGTTTCAATCATGTTGACTGAGAAATTGAGTCTGTACGGGCATCCCAAAGTGCACTTTTGGAGATGCACTGGCAATAGTGCTGCATACCGGTTCACTGGACTTGGATCCGGACTTGTATTGTAAGAATGTTTAGGTTCAAGTCCAAAAAAACCTAAAAGTCAAGAACTGAGTCCGGACTTATTACCATAAAAGACCATTTCACATACCCCATTTTTTTCTAAACCACCTAGAACCTTTTGTAGATTGCGAAATCTTTGCTGCAAAATGAAAAAAAAAAACATCAAGTACCGGCCTCCGTGTTATGTGGCCAAAGTTTCACCCAGACAACATTGCAAGGTTGCCAACATGCCATGTTGTACATGCTATGGGTTTAGGCCCAGACTTACAAGTCTGGAACTGAACCTAAACCTCTGGACTTGAATCCGGACCTGAACCTAAATGTGGGCTTAGGTATGCAGCACTAACTGGCAAGCTTCCCAATCACCGTAGACTTCTCTCTTTGCATCTCTATGTTTTATTTTTGCCTTTCGATGCTTTTTCCTGAGCTGATGACCCCTATGATGTTAGCTCAGTAAAAAACACAGACATGCAAAAATAAAACATAGAGATGCAAATCATCTGCCGGGACTGGCTTGTGCTGACTTTTCAAAAATGGGGCATTGAAATTTTGTGTCGACAAATTTTTGTGTCATATTCTCATAAGCACTGTAACGTCCTGTACTATGAATTGGAACCCTTAGGCCACACCAATTTAATTTGTTGCTTCTCGGATTCGCCCTGTCCATTTTTTTCTGATTTGCAAAAAAAAAAAAGAGAGAGATTTTAGGTTGTGAATCAAGTGCAATTATTCTCAATGAAAGACATATTTTGGCCCCAATGGTTGAAGAAAGTCCTTTTCTTCCTACTTGTTTAAGTTTTTCAATGTAACAATGCAACCTTGTTTCATTAAAAGTTAAAAATCTGTTCTTTCAATTATAAACCCGCCTGGTATGTTGACCTCATGGCTCATATTGTAACATTTCCGGCCATCATGGGGTGCCTTGGCCTGTTTTTTTTATTTTGCCCTGTCGCTTCATATTTTTTCTGAAAAAATTCGAGAAACAACAAATTAAATTGGTGTGGCCTTATGACTAGTGTGTCAGGTGAGTGACAACAGTCGGGATTCGAACTCGAAAACTCTAGATCCAGAGGCAGGGGCACTAACACTGAACCTTGCTTCTCAAACGATGAAGGTTCCTTCCCAACTTACCAAGAACAAACTCAAAGTAGTAAAGATCCTCGATGGCCTCCTTCAGTTGTTCAATGTCATCTTCCTTCAGTGTCAGTTTACACAACTCTGCACTCTCTTTAGCTTCTGTAGGAGGAAAAAAACAACAAGACACGTGACATTTTTCAACAGAAATATTATACTTAATAGCTACTAAATATGCCAAATGCCATGAAAGAACTACATGTGAATGTCTTCTGCAACAATTTGGAGACCTAGAGAATTAAACATTTTGAGATTTTGAGAAAATGTTATAATGCTAGTATGCATGTATACCTCAGTAAATGTGTACTATTTTGGTACACATGTATAACTTTATGATATAGTGCAAACCTACAGTTTGTACATGTGAGGAATATCTTTGGAAATAAAGACAACTGACCTTTGAACTTCATTTCGTAGGTGGACACTGCCATGCGATCCCCATGGAGTACTTCCCCCAGTGTCAGACTGGCAAACTCAACCTGGAACAAAATAAAATTGCAGCATGATGTAACCCAACACTAGTCACCATGGTGACAGACATCTGCTTCAGGTCATTGACCTTATTTGTTAGAAGAAGAAGAGGAAACAGAGCAAAAACAGTATGTTTTCCTTTGGTAAACATAAATACAAGTATGTTGTCATCTGTATTTCAAACTCAACTGACCAAATCTCAAGCATACATGTTGCCATTTTATTGGTGGGTTTTTAAGCCTTCTTCTGGTATCATCCTCTGTATCTTTATAAGCTACATTTTCTATGAAAATGCAATAGCAATTATATTTGAGAGGGACCTACTAGTACTTGTAGATACCGGTATCCAAAATTGTATGGGCTACGATTCACTGAAGTCCCTTACAGTAATGCTTATGTCTTATTTATTAGGGAAAAAAATTGGGACCGAGAAAAAGCAGTCGTTATGTCCAGATGGCTGGTTTATACTGGTGGTCACTTGGGCCAGTGTAGCAAGCTTAACTGTACATGTAGTTGTATCTGCCTCTAACTTGATGTCCGTATACAGTATACACAGCATGTAAAAAATGCTAAATATACACAAATTTTACTACCTTACCTTTTCAGGCCTACAGAGAGGCAGTTCATAGTAGTTGTAGGTCTCATGTGGGTTGAAGTAAGGTCCCACTTTGTTCACATACAGGGTGACCTGTGTAGGGAAAGAATAATGTGTTATAACTTATAAAATTTAGATAACTATATATAATAAGGGATGCATACATTACCAGTTCACTGGACTTGGATCCGGACTTGTAACTGTAAGAATGTTTAGGTTCAAGTCCAAAAAAACCTAAAAGTCAAGAACCGAGTCCGGACTTATTACCATAAAAGACCATTTCACATACCCCTTTTCTTTCCAAACCACCTAAAACCTTCTGTAGATTGTAAAATCTTTGCTGCAAAATGAAGAAAACATTGCCATCGGGCATCGTCAAGTACCGGAATCCATGTTATGTGGCCAAAGTTTCACCCAGACAACATTGCAAGGTTGCCAACATACAATTTTGTATATGCCATGGGTTTAGGACTAGGTCCGGACTTACAAGTCCGGAACTGAACCTAAACCTCTGTACTTGAATCCGGACCTGAACTTAAAAACAGGGCTGGAAATACCCTTCTCCATACCTTCAGTTGTGCAGGTAATATGCAAAATAACCTGCACCAGACAATTACAAGCTAGACTTGATTAGATGAAAACATATTGTAGAAATGTAAATAATGTAGAAATTTCTAATTATACAATCTGACCATGACACGTAAAAAATTATATATCATATTAAAAATGATATACACCTTATTTTACTGTAGTAATACAATCAGGTCAAGGTAATAAACTTATTACAACCACCTGGTTATGATATGTGTGTTGACTGATTCACCTATTTACTAGTATCTATTTATAAGTTACAAATGGCTTGTTGTCTGATAAGTGTAACTGATGTTAACTATTAGCTATTTGATGTTATCTAAACATTTTGACCATTTGCTTTTACCTAAAATGTATGACAATTAGAGCTAGTTTTGAATTCTACAAAAATTCACGCGTTTCAAAGACATAAAATCTAGCAAAAAATAGAATCAAAATCTTTGAAGCAGACAAATTTACAGTATGTCCGGTTGGGTTTTGGGGGAGGGGGGTCAAATAAATTAGCCAATTTAGTACGCCCTATATGTCAAGGCCATGGACCCAAATATCGACGTGACAATATCTTAAAATCCATCAATAGATCTTAAATATAATTCTTAAGTGGAATATGACTATCATATTTTCATTTTTCTGCCCCTAAATTATTTCAGGCCATTTGTTTTGCTCTGACGTGGACGGAAAAATTATGGTCGATACGCTCAGAGTTGCAGAGCCGGTTTTCAATCGGCGACCTTTCGGCCATAACGCGAGCAATTCAGTTCAGATTTTTTCCAAGCTTTCTTGGGAGCTTTCTTAACGTATTGGCTTCTTAATTCTAGCGTCTTACCTTCTCCCCGTCTTCGTAAGTCTTTCCTAAGGTGCTCGAAGCTCCGAGAAGCAGCAAAGTAGCTAGGAGCGCCGCCATGTTGGAAATTCGAGATCTCGCGAAATCTCGCGGGGGAGATTTAAATCTAAAAGTGGACAAAACCTCACATCCCTTCCGTGAAAACACAACACTTTGCAATATCTAGACTCTGCTAAGTCTTAGGTTTAGTAAAACGGTGCGTCTTAAGTCGTGGGAGGGTGTTAACCTGAAGAATGGTCACCTCAGACTCTGAAATCTCGCGAGAAGAAGTCATCCCCTAATCCATCCACTAATCCTGGGCCGAATCACCGCTTGATTAATGATTGACCATTTTCACTTGACACCTGCGGGATTAGGACGGGATTAGCGGCGGCGCTGACCTCGCAGATCCCGCGAAGATGCTCGTGTCAACTTCCGCGGAAACTTTTGGTAAAGTTTGCGGGATTGAGTTGGCGGTTTGGCCGGGATTTTGCCGCGGACTTGCTCGCGTGGCGGACGGAGACGGCGGGTTCACCTGGCGATGCGGTCGGTAATCCCTCATCCTTATCAGATCAGCGGCAGGCCGGAGCTCGGCAGACCAGGCTGAGCCGCCCGCACGAACACACCGCCTTTCCTCCATGGATCCCGCCGATTTTACCTCCTCACAACCCGATTTTCACCCCGTTCTGTAATCCTACAGCTGCCAAGACCGCTGAGGCTTAGACAGGTAAGCGGGGCTCCAACCCAGGTGGGCGGATTGGTGTGATCTTCCGTCCCGATTCACACCTGGTCGCAGGTGCGAAACCTTAGGACAAAAGGGGAGGTGTGCTGTACTCTAACTTGCCCCTTGGGAGCTGCCAATTTGTGAGATTCATGCTATATTATCTGATCCTTGTTCGGATTGGCTTAATTTTAGGAATCCTTGACGTAATTATGGTTTATTTGTCTGGGTGTTTGGTGCAACACACCTCCTTAAGTTAAGGTGCCACAGGGTAAACCTTAAGTCAGGGCGGCATATCAGTCAATTCAGACAGGTGGGAAAGATATCAAACTTTTGTGTTGTGTGTGTGTGCCTGGATTACAATACACATGCCTCAACCAAGATGTCTTTCTTTGCTAAGGTACGCTGAGTTTAAAGTACAAATATTTAGTCGAAACACCATTCTTGGAGGAAAATAAATGAGGATTTGATGTGTTTAGTCCATCCAAACTCGTAAACTGGGTGGTCGTCCAAATTATTTGCAACCAAACCTGGCAAATTGAAAGTAATTGTTAAAGAGAAATTAATTTATTACACTTGAATCCACGACTTGAATTAATTTTCAGTGTGCTTAATTGAATCGAAATACGAAGCTAACAACCCAAGCATGTTGTTTTAAATAACACCAATCTAACATTTTATTTAGCTGTTTTTCCTGAATTAAGCTACAGAAATATACTTGTCGCTGAGGTTGTAAGTTTGTCGTCAAATGTGGAGCTATGCTCGCTGCCACTGCACTACATGATAAACCTCATTTGTACAATTTCACTAATCAACTGTGAAGGGGACTTAATTATGTGGAAAATTGTGGATATTTCGGTCGGCTTTGAAAGTGACTCCGAATTTTTCATACTCTTCTGCGCTGCCGAGTCAACAATTAATTTTCAGCCGATGAAATTCCTTTTATTTATGCGTGTCTAATATTTCACTAAAAATCTAGAGCATTCACTTATATACAACATAAAATATGCCAAACAAAATTAGAAAATTTGACTTCAGAAACCTTAGAAAGTTTTGGCTACTGCAGTACTTCATACACAGGGATTTTTTTATTGCTTTTTTGTTTTAGATCTAGCTGGTTTATTATAATTTATAGCTTATCTCATTTTATTTTTCTCCTTCTATCTTGGTAGGGATGGATAAATGTTCCTGTTATACTAATCTGTCCTCTCCTTCTTTTGGCCCCCTAAGAGTCAGAACACCAAATAACTCACAGCACGGGGAAATTGATATGATGTACCCACAGGCAGGGTTTTCGGTGATAACTACACCTGGGGGATTTCACTATGAAGATCGGATATAGTCGTAGACTTAGATAGCGCCCAGTCCTAATCATGGTGCCGGAATGTGCTCCCTGGCCCCAAGAAACTCAACAACGCGAGGTGGAATTTTTTGATAAGGATTTCCTGTAGACTGTGTGATGGTTAAGTGAAGCTTTGATTTATGGGTTACATCCTCGGAGCTGATCATAAGTGTCTGAAAATGCGGCACAGATACTGAACGTTGGCTTAGTTCTTTTGGGGGCGTATTCTGCTAGGAATTCAATCAGAATTGAAAGGTGTATTTATACATGTATCACTGGCGAGCTGAGATCATGTTAAATCCGGTACGTGACCGGCACAGGGCTGAAATCCCGCCGTAAACGCGCCGCCGAGGCTGTTACCGTCCGGGATTACACCCGCCCGCCGCGCGAGACACACCGACACCATCGTCTCCGGATTCTCCACGCCGGGTTTGCGGGGAATCTCCGAAACGAAGCGCCCTAAACCCCACTCCTGTATAACATTGAAAACGTCCTTTCTCTGTATAGCTCTCTCTCTCTCTCAGAAATCAACTTCTTAGATCTAGAGGACGTTTGAATGAACATGAATAAGTAAGTAAGCTCCCTGAGGGAAACGTGCCGCTAAAACATTGGGGTGTCATAAACCGGAGCGAGCTGGAATGTTCGCTAGTGAAATTTACAGCCAAGCCCGACGCTAACTCCCTAATCTGCCGTGAGCGTCGCTCACCGGTCAGATAAAAAACACCAAATTTATCGATTTGTCCTAAAATGTCTTTATATATATGTATGGAGGACTTGCTGTGGCAAAGAATTGTTGGGAAAGTCTGGGCATGTAGAATTTATGGTTGAGTTAGACTGGGGGTGGCTGTTTTCCCAGAGGAATATCTGCTCGCTCAAGCAAACCAAATCCCAAAGATAAACCACCAATGGCTACTCAGAGAAGCATGAACAATGAGATAGCATTGAGTGGGACGTCATTTAGAGTCCTTGTCACCGCGTTTTACCTCTCGTTTTCGCGGACAACGATCTCGTTTTTGGACTCTCGGTTGAGGTAATCACGTCTTGCGGGTCTTACGAGTCAGGGAACTGAAACGGACTTGTTTGTTTACTTGTCGTTATAGATTAACTTTGTTTATCTACTCCTTGCAATGTTGCCGTGTTAAAAACAAAAGTAAATCCAGGAAAAATTGGCACTGTATATCTTTACAGCCATAAATTGGCAGTTTTGTGAAATGTGTCTTTTCTAGAGGTAGATAATTGCCCTTATTTTTTTGCTAATGCATTTTATTGGTACAATATATATAACTTTTATAAGGTAATGAATCTACCATGAAGTGCAAAAATATTTCTTTAGTACAAGAAGGTTCAAATCAACTTAGAGTTATTCAGAATTATACTATATTTATTGAGAATATACTGTAGAATATATAGAATTATACTAAAGAACTTCCATATATAATGAAAAGTGATCACACATTTTGGTTCATGTCTAAATACCTGATTCCAGTTTTGTATTAACTGTATTTCCGGGGTATGTTACTAAATTGGCTAAAAAGGTAATGATAAAGAATTTTTTCTTAGTTCTAAAAAAGCTACCTACCAACCTTTTTATTCAGGACCATAATATGAAACCCAACATTGCTTTTACTAGCCCTAATTCTTCATTCAGAATCATATCACATGCAGTGAACACAGGAGTAGGAATGCGCAACATTGATACTCCAGCTTATGTATCACTGCTGCGTAAGAAAAGCAGCCTACAAAGTGAGTGGGTGGAGAGACTTGAAAGAGATTTGACTGTATCATTTTAAATCATAGGTATGAGCACTTACCTCTCTTCTGCCAATGTTGCTTTGAACAGAAGGTGCTTGAATGATAATGTTTTCAAACATGATATGCAATTTGTTATCAAAGATTGAAACATTTGTAAATATTTTTCATAGAAGTTTATACAATGCAGTTTTAGGGTAAATAAGTACATGTACTACATGTAATAATCTGTATGTATGTAATTTTGATGAAAATGGTAAAAAAAAAAAAGAAAACTTATATGACCTTCAGTGAAGGTCATAGTAGAATTGCAAATTTTGTGAAGTTAGAAATAGAAGTAGAAATTTGATGTCTTTAATTTTTATTATTGTCAGTTTGATAACTAGTAGTTATAGCTGCAGAGAGATTTTCTTTTGGAAGGCAACCAACTAATTTAACTCTGAGACTCTTGAAAAAGAATTTCTTCAATTAGAAGGTTAAAATACACACTTTCTGGGATCAAGTTAAATTGAAGGACGAAATTTACCTTTCTTATAAGTCAGTTTTTTGAGGTATTGAAAGATTCAGTCAACCTAGGACTGTTAAAGTTTTGATGAATTTGAGGGTTTGGTTTCTTCCATAGGTTCAATCAGAATGTTAAAAACGACGCTTTTTGCGAATCGTAGGGAGAAATTTGATCCCCCTCCTGTCGCGACAGTGGGGTAATCCGGGTGAATATCCCGTCAGCCGGGCGCGCCAAATCCCGCAGATGAAAAGCGGAGAGACTGATGGACTGTCGGGGCGGCAGAACAATGCTTGGTGCTGATCCGTGGAGCAAACAGGATTAGGCCCGGCAGAGAGCTGGAGGGGACGGGATTTAGGCGACTCTGTGCACCTGGACTGAATACTGGGGGGGTTAGGGACCAACCAGTAGTTATACGGGAGGGGGGATCTTAGAGTTTATGGTATTCAGAGATGTGTGAAGTACTGTGAACTCTTTTATGTCTTTAAACTCAATACATTCATGACTTTAATTAAATGTTTTGTGCACATTGGCAGGATTTAGTAGTCTAGGCACTTGGACTGAATACTGGAGGTTAGGGACCAACCAGTAGTTATACGGGAGGGGGAATAGAGTCTATGGTATTTAGACTCATTAGAGTAACTGTTGTAATACAGTACTCTTTTATGTCTTTAAATTCAGTACATTCATGACTTTAATTAAATATTTTGTGCACATTTGCAGGATTTAATTGTCTGTGTGCCCCTGAAATGAATACTGGGGGGTTTAGAGACCAACCAGTAAATATATGGAGGGAGTCATAGACTTATTGTAATGCTATTCAGAGTACATATTGCAAATTGTGTATATTCTGTCTAGATCCTGTGTTAATTCTTTTATGAAGAATTATATATATTATGTTTTATGACTGATGTATATTTAAGTGCTCCATTGACATTGAAGCTACACTGTACATTTACATGAATACAGGGAGATTTAGGGACCAACCAGTTGATATACTACTATGGGAGGATCAGGCTGCTGTCTTCAGTCTAGAGATACTGACTAAAATAGATTCAAGACGATGAAATCTTGATGTTTAACTTAATTTAATATAAAAATGTCATTGATTCCTTCGATGTACTACATAGGAATTTTTAAACAAATGATTATAAGAACTTTGGACTTAACTTATTAGGGACCAACCAGTTGATATATTAGGGGGATGTGGCCAGTATGTCTCTCGCATTGCATTTTTCATGAACTTGAAGGATTACATTGTATGTCTCCCACATCTTTTGTGATGTATCTAAGTTGATCACTTCATTTAAACTGAGTCCATGAATTTTTCAGAATTATAAGAACCATTTAATCATTGTAATAGGGCTCAGGGATTTAGGAACCAACCATTATCTGGAGAGGGGTGTACTGTAT